GCTTGAGATTCTCTCCCTCTCTCTCTCTGCCCCTCCCCTGCTCATGCTGTCTCTCTAAATAAATAAATAAATAAATAAATAAAATAATTCTGTCATAGAAGGTAAGAGAAGCTATGTCAACTATACTTCAATTGAAACAAATAAACACCCAACCTCGCCTTTCCTTGATCTTGGACTTCCAGTGTCTGGAACTATGAGAATAAAAAGTTCTGTTGTTTAAGCCAAAAGAAAAAAGAAAGAAAAGAGAAACTCAGTATAGAGCCAGGGAGCTTGTGAGAAAGGAAGCAGAGAGTACATCTGATGAATATTTATAGGAAGGCACAAAAGGGCGGAGAAGCAGCACATACTTATAAGGCACCTGAGGAGTGTCACAAGGCACTCAGTATTCATGAGGTCTTAAATCGGCCCCCTTGGGTCATGTCCATTTTGGGCTCCACTCATTCTCTGCCCAGGACGTATGGACAAAAGGCGCGGCTGCTCAGCCCTTCACTGGTGCGTTATGGCTCCTGACCAGGCACATTTGCTCCTGAATCTTCCTCTGCACCTGATGACTCCAAATGCCTTCCTCCTGACTCTCTCTGTTTGTCTTCAACTCCATGTTCTCATGACCAGTAGGAAAGCTGACGGCAGACAAAGAGAACATGAGAGTGACAGAGGGATGCAGGCATACCGACATGCACATGCATACACACACATTGGCACACACACATGTGCACATGGGGCACACGCACACACATATGCACATGCACACACTGGGCACACACATACGCACAAACACACATTAGCGCACACATATACACAGAGCACATGCACACACACATGTGCACACGGGGCACACACATACGCACATACACACATTAGCACACACATATACACATGCACACGTATACACGGAGAACATGCACACACACACATTGAGCACGCGTGCATGCATACACACATGCACACACACACATAGGGCACACACACACAGGACCCACATAGTGTGGTTTTTCCACCCTGTCTGAATTGTTACATAAATATGTCTCTTTCCCCTCACTTCTCCCTATATTTTGTAGCTGATTTAACAAGCCCCCTCTCTCTGAACATCTGGATTTGCTCCTTGAGCCTTTCTGCTCAGTCGCTTCGCTGCAGGTGCACGAGAATCCTGCCATTACACCAAGGTGATTTCCCAGGTGGCAAGTCCACTTTAGACCCATCTAATAAGCCATAGAAGGTTCTGCCCCACCCGTGGTTTTATGAGGGGGCGTGGAGATGAGACGGCTTGGAACACGAAGGAGGTAGGCGAAGGCAGCTTCAGGGAGGAGGGAGTGAGGTCAGAAGCGAATCCTGAGCTCTCTGCCCCAAGTTTGCTTGTGGGACCGTTTGTCATGGCTTGGCCACGCATCTCTTTGTGGGACCTCTGCCCGGATTCTCCTTCAGTTTCTCCATCCACCTCCAGCCCAGTGCCTATAATCTCAGGTGCTTCTCATTCTAATGAATTCTCTGCTCTGAATCTGAGAAGCTGCCTCTCTCTCTGTGTTGGGTTCCCTGAGGCAGGGTCTGCGGACTCCATGAGCCAGCAAGGAGGGACCGCAGCGAGGATGCTACTCCAAGGTGAAGCCGTCCAGGTTGGGCCCCCTCTTCCCCTGCTTTTGGAGGCCCTTCATTTCCGGCCACACTTGAGGCAAAACAGAGTTTTGTTAGGCAGGCAGCTTGTTTCTGTTGGGGAAATCCAGTCTCAAGGCTCCTGAAGCCGGGATGGGACACTCGGGTAGTGAGATTTGGAGAAGGCTTGGAAAAGGCGGTGGATGCACTCTGGAGGGACCCACAAGCCCCCTCTGCAGGGTCCTGTGGATCCTGACTATCCACCTGCCATCAGACATCACCGCTCCCTTCCTCAAACTTCCCACTCATGGCTATGTGCTACTGCTTTGAGTATTGATCTGGTGTCCAGTGGCCTTGCTCAACTCCCCGCAGTTCATCTGCAGACTCCTTTGGGTTTTATAAATACACACCCACATCATCTGCAAATAATGGCTGTTTTATTTCAATATTTATTACAATGGCTTGGACTTCCAACACAATATTGAATAGAATTGTGCTAGTGGACAAACTTGTCACCTTCTTGATCTCAGGAGAAGCGCCTTCAATATATATATATTACCATCAAGCACAGTGTTTGCTGTGGTCTGATGGTTTTTGGTGTTGGGAGATATATTTCATCAGATTAAGGAACCGTCTTTTTATTTCTAACTTGCTAGAATTTAAAATTTAAATGTAGATTTAAAAGGGATCACAAATAAACATTAAATATTATCAAGAATGTTTTTCTACATTTACTTAGATGATCATACAGTTTTTCTATATTCTAAAAATGTGGTCACTTACATTGATTAATATTTAAACATCAAATGAGTCTTGTTTATATTCCCAGGAATAAATTCAAGAATTAATCCAGGGATACAATTTTGAGATGTATAACCCTTCAGAGATATCACTGGATTTAATACGTCAACATTTTTCTTATGGCTTTTGTATCTATTATCATGAGAGAGATTGAATGAACTTTTCTTATGTGTTCTTGCATTATTATGGATTCAGGGTAGCTGGCTTCTTAAGAAGCTTGGGAAATGATCCTTTTTATTATTACCTTAAATGTTTGGAAATTTCACTTGTGAAGCCCTCGTGGACTAGTAAGTTTCTTTATGGGAAGGTTTTTCACAGAATTCAATTTCTATCTTTAATTTTTTTTTATTTGTAAAATAATCTCTACACCCTCAACATGGGGCTTGAACTCACAACCCTGAGATCAAAAATCTCATGCTCCACCGACTGAGCCAGCCAGGCGCCCCTATTTGCATTCAATTTCTTGATGAAGTATAGGATTATACATGTTCTCTCTCATCTTGTGTAAGTTCCGTTAAGTTTGGTAGATATCAGATGCTGAAGTAAAGTTCACACAGGCTTCATTCCTTTGTGTATACGTGGAAGGAAACCTACAGGTGGGTGAGGAAACCCAGATTTGACTAATGGACTCAGGTCGGTGTTTTGATGGTAGTTGGCAGGAAGGTATAATGGGTGGGTTTAAAAAATTCCCCCATTGGGGCGCCTGGGTGGCTTAGTCGGTTGAGCGTCCGACTTTCGCTTAGGTCATGATCTCGCGGTTCATGGGTTTGAGCCCCGCGTCCGGCTCTGTGCTGACTGCCAGCTCAGAGCTTGGAGCCTATTTCGGAGTCTGTGTCTCCCTCTCTCTCTGACCCTCCCCTGCTCACGCTGTCTCTCTCTCTCCTAGAAATAAATAAAAATATTTATAAAAAAAAAAAATTCCCCCATTTACCAACGGTGGCATAAGCTTGTATCAGTTTTGATTATATCCAGAAAATGAGATATTCTTTGGATACCATCAGGTGTAGGTCTATATTAGGATTACTTCAGCAAGTACAGGTCCAGTGGAGATTGGGGTGGAGGGCTACATGGTATAAAATAGAGGAAATCTGTGACCACAGATGAGCCAAAATATTCGGAATATAGAGAGGGCAAAAGAAATTAAGGATGTAGTAAAGATGGAGGATTCAACCCTTTGAGATCTTGTGGATAACTAGGGGAGAATGGCTCACTACCCAGTCTGGGCAGTTTTCAGGGAGACGGAGAGAAGCAGAAAGGTGAGGATATGGGCAAGGAGGGATGGTAATGATGGACTGGATAGTCTAAACTGGGTAAGGAGGGAAGTGGGGCCATGGGGTGGTTGAGAGACCTTGTAAGTGTGGTAGGGTCAATGGGCTTTAGGTCTTAGGGGGTTTCAAGAGCTGGGATACTGGAGTGTAGGCTGGAAAGATGGCAAGTGTTGGCTGGAGAATGGGAGCTTTAAAACCGAGGTTATGGAAGGACTGTTATTGGTGGTGTCAATGTCCATGGCATAATTGTAACAATGACTAGCTGGGAGAGATGGGCTGTAAGGAGGAGGTCAGGAGCTTAAGGGTCAGGGCATTAGAAGAATCAGTTATGACACTGTTCTCAACCTTGGCTACATATTGTAATCACCTAGAGAGTTAAAAAAAAATTGATGCCTCAGTTCTCAGTAGACCAAATTAAACAGAATCTCTGTGGGTTAGATTTTAATATAGGATTTTTTTTTTTTTAGCTCCCTAGGTGGTTCCAACGAGCGGCCAGGATCGAGAACCTTTGAGTTGCAAGGGGATCAGAATCACCAAAAGAATGATCTTGGGCCAGGAGCTACAACTTTTCCAAAACAAAGGGAAAGACCCATTGCTGTAGACGATTTTCACAGGAGGGCTGGTGGGCGGTATAGGGACAACGTAAGAGTACACATTTTTTTTTAAATTTTTTTTAAGTTTATTTTGAGAGAGAGAGAAAGAGTGAGAGTCAACAGGAGAGGGGCAGAGAGAGAGAGAGAGAGAGAGAGAGGGGGAGAGAGAGTGAATCCTAAGCAGGTTCCATGGTGTCAGGACAGAGCTGGATTCAGGGCTCAAACTCACAAACTGTGAGATCATAGCCTAAGCCAAAATCAAGGATTGGACATTCATCCAACTGAGCCACCCAGGCACCCCAAGAGTGCATTTTATTAAAATTGGGGTGGTGGGGGAGGGAAAATGGATTGGAGGGGGCCAATGGGGGAAAAAAGAGTACTCTTTTACTTAAAACCCACCATGGGCCTCCATCTCATCAGAATGAAACTGTAGGCTCTTCCATGGTCTACATGGACTGACTCGATCTCTTCTCGCCACCGCACCCCTCACCCCCATGGGTTCTTGGATCTCCCTCTTGCCCATTCTTCTGCAGTCACCCTGTTTCCTTGTCTGGCTTTCATCCCAGGTTTCTGCTCAAATGTCCTCTTATTAGAGAGACTTTGCAGATCTCATTTAATTTATTGTTGAGAGAGAGAGACTGGAGGAGGGGCAGAGAGGGGGAGACAGAATCCAAAGTAGGCTCCAGGCTCTGAGCTGTTAGCACAGAGCCCTACGCGGAACCCACAAACTATGAGATCATGACCTGAGCCACCCAGGAGCCCCTAATGGATCTTATTTCAATACAATGCTTGACCCCTACCCTCCCACCCCCTCTTGCTTCATAGCACTTCCTGTGGCTGCAATGGTGCACACTTACTTATTTTCTCTGGTCTGCCATCTCTACAAGAATGTTAGCCCCAGGGAGGACAGGAACTGTGGTCTGTTGTGTTCACTGATGTGTTCCCAGGGCCTAAAGGGGCACTGAAACAGAGTAGATGCTCATTATGTGTGTGAGGAATGAATGAATATATAGAGCAAATGAAAAAAAAAGAAAGCAAGTTGCATAACCAGATGTCCAACAAGATAGTGCGCGCATGTGTGTGTGTGTGTGTGTGTGTGTGTGTGCGCATAAGCTATGTACAATGAAAGGTTTGTCAGGGTATGTGCTAGATGCTAGATGTTAACAATCATTCCTGCAGGGCAGGGAAATAGGTGGGACTTTCACTTTATACCTTTGGACATCTGAATTTGTTCAGCTGTCTTCTAAGTCCCCTGCCACCCCGCCCTCTTCCCTTCATTTCCACCAATAAATAGAAAAGAAGACAAAAAGACCACCTGACTTCAGTAAGGGGGGAAGCAGGCAGCAACTGAAAATTTGGAGCAAATATTGGCAAAGTCTGGTCCAAATCCACATGAATCTCTGAAATGGAGGCCTGTCATGTCTGAATAGAAACAAAGATTAGGAGATCAGGCTCCGAAGAAAAAGGTAAATCTGTACCTTTATTTTGCGAATTTCCCACAGGTTCAATTCTGTAAGGAGAAGGCATAAAATATCCTATCACCCATGGGGAAAGCTATAGATGAGAGATGCTGATCCTGCAGGAAAAAAGCAAAGACCTAGAGATAACAGAAATAGGAATTTCTGGATTGGATTCCTTTAAGATTGTACACTGTACATTTGGGTGCATAACTTTCCCATTTGCTTCATTTCAATTTTTTTAAAGTTTATTTATTTTGAGAGAGAGAGGCAGAGAGAGGGAGAGACAGAATCTGAAGCAGATATGAGGCTTGAACTCATAAACTGTGGGATCATAACCCGAGCTGAGATCCAGAGTTGGATGCTTAACCAACTGAGCCACCTGGGTGCCCCACTCTGCCATTTTCTTTTCTTTTCTTTTTTTATGTTTTATTTATTTCTAGGAGAGAGAGAGAGAGAGAGAGAGAGAGAGCACAGGGGAGGGTCAGAGAGAGAGGGAGTCACAGACTGAAACAGGCTCCAGGCTCTGAGCTGGCAGCCAGCACAGAGCCCGACGCGGGGCTCAAACCCATGAACCACGAGATCATGACCTAAGCGAAAGTCAGACGCTTAACCGACTAAGCCACCCAGGCGCCCCTCACTCTGCCATTTTCTGATTGAAGGTGAAACTAATCAGACCAAGAGTATCTGCCTGGAGAAGAAGCTATGTGTAGTGAAACAGTTAACGAGAAATACAGGGCTCTGGGATTATAGAGGCAAGTTGTTTGAGATAGTAAGGTTGTTCAACTGAAAGAATGGGACAGAGTGTACAAAGTTTGGAGAATTTTAAATGGGTATGTGGGTCCACGCTAGTCTTGGTATTCAAGTTTGGTTATTTGTACAGAGGATTGATTTACCTTTGAATGGACTGTTGTCTTCCTTTGGTATCTGTTAGTGGACAGAGAGTTAACTTGTTTCTAAAACAGTACAAGGCTTTTTTGGTTTCACCTAGGAGAGTGAATGGGTCTATTTTCTTTCAAGGTTTCGCATTTTTCTGCATTTCATCTATGCAGAGATAAGAACTGGAGACCAGCAGAGCACAATAGGCTATTCTTATAATTCAGATGTGACTGGGCACCGGGAATCGCCTCTGTTCCTGACCCTACACCTACCTTGAAGCGGGAATGTCCTTATCTTTTCCCAGAAAGCACAGCTGAATGAATCGTGACAATTTTACGGAAAGTCTTGGGGAGACCGAAAAGCCCTGTGAATCTCGGGGAGACAGTTCTGGTGTACGACAAAACCTAATACAAGTTCCCCTTACTCATATATGTTTTCCTTCCAAAGGGGAAATATTTCACATTTCCTTCATATCTTTCCTCTGTTTTTTTAAAAATGTTTATCCATTTATTTTGAGATAGAGAGAGAGAGAATATGAGTGTGGGAGGGACAGAGAGAGAGAGAGAGAGAGAATCTCAAGCAGTCTCCAAGCCGTCTGTGCTGTTGGCACAGAGCTCAATGTGGGGCTTGAATTCACAAACCATGAGATCATGACCTGAGCTGAATTCAAGAGTCAGATACTCAACTGACTAAGCCACCCAGGTGCCCCACTCTTCTCTGTGCTCTGAAGCAAAATATCTGTATCCCTTTCCACATCTCCACCTCATCCTCCAAACTCTACCTCGGCTTGGCAAACAGAGGATCCATTCCTTACTTCTTCCAGACCCCCAAGAGGAGCTTTCTTGGGTGACTTCTGTATCTTCTTACCTCATTTTCAGGAGAAGACCCTCGGCCTTGCCTTAGACAAGAAAAACATAATAAGCACCTCCCCCACCCATTTCACTGCAGTCTCTCCCCCAGGCAGACATTCTTCCCCAGATTTGTTCTGAACTCAACTGAAAAATAGAACAGTCTCCCATACACAAAGGCTGAACATTATTATCCATACCTTTAAAACACATTCATGGATTATTCATAGACTGACTGCTCTTTTTCTTTACCTGTAGAGTCTGGGTCTTGTTGTCACTGTGTAGTTCTCTCTCTTCACTCTGATAAGAAAATTTTGCTGCTGAATTGCAATTCATTCATTCATTCATCCACTCATTCATTCAATGTTGCTTGAGCAACATCGGGCCAGGTGGTGTTCTAGACCCTGGGGATATAGGGACAAACAAGATTGTGAAGATGCCTGTTCTCACGGCTCTCACATTATGAGGAAGGGGACAAACAGAAACAAACAAGAAAGTATCAGATGTGATTAAAGTCTTTGAAGAAAGTTGAAGAATGGTGGACAGGGCTGTGCTGGGGTGACTGATGGAGATGGCCTTTATGATGTGGTGACATTTGCTGATTTAACCCTTTGAGTTCAGAAAACACATTTCAGGTTTACTTTTACCCGCTTCCTCTCAGAGTCTGAATTTGGGGGTCGATGTTCTAACACCGCTGGTGTTAGATGGTAGGCTCCCATCTCGGAGGGAAATGTGTATGTAGAGCAGGGGTTGGCAAGCTTCCACAAAGGGCCAGAGAGCACATGCTTTTGGCTTTGCAGGCTACGTGCAGGATTACCACTGTGTTTGTGGCACAGACTTGGCCATTGCAGTAAGTGAATGAGTGGAGATGGCTGGGATCTGATAGAGCCTCACTGGCCAAAGAAGGCAGCAGCTGGCCCACGCACAGCTGTTGGCTAACCTCTGATCTGGACTGTGCTTTGCCTTAGTTTACTGCCCCCCCCCACCATGGGGGGTCAGCAACTTCAAGGGAGAAAGCCCCTTCCCCATTAGAGAGTTCCTAGCCTTAATTGTTCTTCGTTAGAAAAAAATACAAATTAAGATAGACTAAGAGAAACTTAAATACAGAGAACAAACTGAAGGTTGCTGGAGGGAAGGTGAGTAGGGGTGGGGAAAATGGGTGATGGGCATTGAGGATCTTGTTGGGATGAGCACCAGGTGTTACATGCAAGTGATGAATCACTGGGTTCCACTCCTGAAGTCAAGACTACATTGTATATTAATGAACTTGAATTTAAATTAAAAAAAAAAAAATAGAAGGATGCTTTCTCCACGAAAAAGGTAGGCTAATTCAGAAAGTTTATACAATGTACAAGAAAAATTAAGAAAAGTCTTTTTTTAATTCACATTAAAAAAAATTTAAAGCCAAGGTAGTTAACATATAGTGTAACATGATTTTAGGAGTAGAACCCAGTGATTCATCACTTACGTATAACAGCCAGTGCCCATTCCAACAAGTGCCCTCTGTAATGCCCATCACCCATTTAGCCCATCCCCCCCACCCACCTCCCCTCTAGCAACCCTCAGTTTGTTCTCTGCATTTAAGAGTCTCTTATGGTTTGAGGAAAAAAAAGAAATCTTACCTTTACCTTCCAAAGCACACTAAAAGTAATCAATAATCACTTTTTTTAAAAAGAAAAACCACTCTTCATGTATATCGTTCAGATTTTTCTATATGCATGTATATACATAAATATATACTTACAAACATCCAAATAGATTTCCTTTTCTTTTGTTTTTCCTTTTTTCCCCCCTTCCCATCCCTCTTCTCCTCTCCCTTCCCCTCCCTTCCCCTGCCTTCCCCTCCCATCTCCTCCCCTGCAACCCTGTCCCTCTCAGCCCCTCCCTTCTCTCTAGCACTTGGGGGTTGGCCCGAAATACCATTCTGCAGCTAGGTGCTTTCACCCTACATTACATCACGCTTTGCCTCTTTGGATTTGAGAGGCAACATTCCACAGTTGGTGGGGTCCTGTTGTTGCCAACCAACATGACGCGAGTGTCAAATTTTTTTGGTGAATGGCGCTGTGAGCAGGTGGTGGGGGGGACAGTCTACGTCTCCACCCCGCAAGGTGGCTGCTGGCTGCCCTGGACCCTTGTTACGAAAGCAAGTCTCAGGCCAAATGCCACCCAGCAGCTGCATGGCCTTCTCTTGGCGAGCAGGGACAAACAGGCTGCCTGGAGTTTGGAAGGGGACTCCAGCTTGAGGGGCTTTCTCCAAAGCAGGCACCTCTTGCAACAGGATTGGCAAACTCCTCCACTGGATCCAGAGAGAGGCGCCCCAGGGGGCTCAGGCCCCTCCCCTCCACACGGATGGTTGGGCTTGTCTTTCTTTTTTTTTCTTAATATGTTATTCATAGGAAGGTCAGGAGCCCTCCTACATGATCCAAACAAATCACCGAATCCCTCCCCCTTCTCACTGAGAAAAATCAAATGATAATATAAAAAATATGATTGCAATATAATAAAGAGAATAATATAATAAACACCCATATATCCTTCACTCAGACTCACCATCACATTTTCCCACAGTTGCTTTGCCTATTTTTCTTTCTAAAAAAGGATATACACACACGTATATAAATTATAAACATATATATTTAAAAGTTTTGTTTTACTTTTTTTTAAAATGTTTTTTATTTATTTCTGAGAGAGAGAGAGAGACAGTGTGAGCAGGGGAGGGTCAGAGAGAGAGGGAGACACAGAATCTGAAACAGGCTCCAGGCTCTGAGCTGGCAGTCAGCACAGAACCCGACGCGGGTCTCGAACCCACGAACTGTGAGATCATGACCTGAGCTGAAGTTGGACGCTTAACCGACTGAGCCACTCAGATGCCCCAGTTTTGTTTTACTTTTAATTGTGGTTTCAAAATTCACTGTAACTCGGATTTCTTCACTCAAAGTTATTTCTTTTCTTTTTAAAAATATTTTGAGTCTATCTGATTCTTTCTTTTTATTTTTTGATTTTTACTTTTATATATTTTAAAAGCATATTTTTGAGACCGAGAAAGAGCAAGCATGAGCTGGGGAGGGGCAGACAGAGAGGGGACAGAAGATCTGAAGTGGGCTCTGTGCTGACAGCAGCAACACCAATGCGGGGTTTGAACTCATGAACCGTGAGATCATGATCTGAGCCAAAGTCGACACTTAACCGACGGAGACACCCAGGTGCCCCAAAGCTATTTCTAATATTCTTTATGCCCTATTCCTTAAGTACTGTTGAGAGACTGAATAAAATTTATTTTTC